CAGTTAATTTGTCCACCCCTAGTAAAGTTCCACCAAATTGCTCAAGCATTTCTGAAATATAATTTTCCGAATATATATTTGACATTTATGAAATTTCTTTTATTATTATTTTTAGTATCTTGATTTATTTTGAATTAAATTAAGTTCCGTCTATACACAAATTTATAATTTACAAAAAACTAAACCGAAAACCAAATAAATGGAAACATTATTGGATTACCTGTAAAAAATAAAATCAATTGCAAAAATGTTACTTTTGGTATGTGCATTTGCAAAAATGACACTATAGATTGTCCATTTGCAAAAATATCACTAATTATAGATTTTTAAGCCTAAATAAAAAAATTCTAAACCCTAAAAAATATTTTGACCCTTAAAACCTCTAAACCCTCAAAATTACACACTAATACAATATAGTTAACCCAAACATAAATAATTTTTAAAAAATGACATTTTGCAAATATTTTGAAAATATGGCATTTTTAAAAAGTGGTATTTGAAAAGTGGCATTTTTCAAAATTATTCTCATGACGCTAAGTTTAACGTCCAAAAACTATAGTCGGTTGTTAATGTCGGTTAATTCCATTATCCAATTCTTATTTATTTGTTTTGGCCAATGTATATTTGTGCTATTTTCTCAAATAGAAATAGATAAAAAACAAAGTTTGTAATCAACTAAATTTAAAATAGCAGTTGACCCATATCAAATTTCAATTAATAAAACATGTAGTTCTACATTAAAACATAAATATATTGGAAAATACTAAACCCCAAAAACATTCAAACAAGAATTGGCCTATTTTTAGTACTGAACAGGAAGGCTACAATGTACCACTCTTCGTTATGTTGCATGTGGCATCTTTCTCGTAGTGAGTATGAAAAAATAGTAATTTAATAATTAAAAAAAAAATTATGATATATTTCTTAACATTTCGACCAAAAAAATAGTAAATCTAGATATTCATATATTATGATATATTTACATAGATAATTAACAATTATAAATCTAGATATTCATATCAGAAATTTGGCTGCAAAACGGGTAGAATTGGAAGTAGGATTATAAACAGTATGCATTCTAAAATGGCTTTATTAATAACATAAGGTGTGGATCACAATGTCAGTTTGAATATGCTTTAGATTCTAAAATTTCGATCTAAATCTACAGTTTTGTACACATAAGAAGTTGATTAAAAGTGTTGACTTTAAAGATTCGTCAACATTTTGTAGTAAAGAAAGATAGAAAAACTATGTTGTGGAATTAATATTTTGTTTGTTACTTGAGGTTTTTCATTTATTTTTGATAATGGTTTAAGAATAAACAACACCAATACCAAAATAATTGCTTCATACGTTAGCAAAGTAGATTATCATGCTATAAGCAACAAAAGTTCAAAAGAAGCTGTAATTGATATGTACCTGTTCATAAGGCCAAACGACTGTAATTGTACTATATCAAAATAAAGTTTCACAAACATCTCATAAGAGAAGCTCTTCTACACAAGGAATGTACAACCCTTTAGTGGCAAGTATGGTAGCCAGAACTTAATTAATGTCAGTATGTATAGCCCTATCAGCAGCCTGTTTACCATCTACAAAATGGAAAAACGAAAACCAGTTATATC